TTTCTTAGTTAATTACTATTTGGAGATAAAATTATTAAATGAACTATTCTGGAAATAAAACGATGTTTGTGAAATAATTGTAATTTAAAAATTGCAACAATTCTGTAACAATGGGGAAAAAGCCGTTTAATTTTACACAATCATAGTTTGTGTGTATTGCCAACTAAATTAACATGGTTTAATTAGTTTATTTATTTTATTAGCTTAATAATAAAAAATATAGAGTTCAAGATTATTAAATGAAGTATTGTTTACCTAATTACTCACAAATGTTATATGATATCACACAGGGACATGTTGCCAGTTGTGCTTTAAGCACTAAATAATCAAATATAGCGTTTCATCTTGTATGTCAGTAAAAAAAAATAAAAAAAATTTAGAATTGGAAATTATATCCAATGATTTTTTCTGTGCTGTATTGTATGAATACATGCCAGAACATAAATAATTGAACTACTTATAGACTAGAACATACAAACAGTATTCAGTATAATCTAACAAAGTAGGACATGTTGCATCACATGTTCAAGTAATCCTCCTCCAATCCCCATTATTTCGTTGTGTTACACAGCCCTGCAGCGTATGACACATGTATTAATAAGCCACACTGGCACTGGATGTTGAGTTAAGATCTGCTTCCTCTGTTCTATAAAAACAATGTCAGAAGATGAATGGAGCGCTGGGTCTTTGAGGCTCATACAAATGTTTCACTTTCTTCATGTTTGGCCTCGGTTTCTCCTCCAGCATTCTTAACAACTCTTCTACTCTAATGACTGTGTTTATTAAAGCCTGCTTTACTCACATAGGCCCGACTAAAATCACTGGAAACGTAGCTTTTTCTAATGTTGTTTCCCCCTCTTCCCTCAGGTTTACGGTTCAATTTTAGTTCGTTCTCTTGAAGATGCCAAGCACTTTAAATTTCCAAACCCTTGTCTGAGTCTCTGTGGGGCTCCGTCGACCTTTTACTTCTGGATTCGTTTCACCTTCACTTCACTTGGATGTACAATTGTTGCATTGTAAGTGATTTTCTTCTTAAAATGTTAAACTATTAAACTTACTGTCAGTGGTTAATGTGTACAATGTCAGAACAGCTGACTTTTGTACTTCAGTGACTAATATTCATTAACACTAACAATTTTCCAAGTTTCCATCTGTCTTTAATGGCAACAATGAAAATTTGGAGAATGTAATGAGTCTGTCTTTTTGATGACTTCAGACTGACCCACTTAAAGCAGTAAATTTTTATATGCAGTGGACTCCATGATGCAGGGTCTGTTGTGCTGTGCCAAAACCCAAAGGCATGGAGCCAAAAATATAGAAGGAAATAAAATAATACGCTTCCTATAATAAAGTGTTTAATGTTGCCTTTTTACACAGTTTATGTCAGAGTCAGTACTACGGATGGCTCGATACATCTGTTTCAGGTCTGATACTGCTAATTAGAGTATCTGCTGATACTGATATCAATACGAATCCTTCTTTTTTTCTCCAGCTGCTGTTGATGAGTGTCTCGGATCAGACAGGCTATACTTGTTTGTTCAGTTCTGAAATATTGACCAATATTGGATCGATACCAATCCTGAGTATTGGATCCAACCATCCCTAGTTAGTACACGGTAGGGACAGATACAGAGTTCCTCAGGTGAATAAAGTCGTAGATACTAAATATGCAGCGAGGCTAATTAAACAAGTACTCCACTGTTTTCAGAATCATCTTGTTATGTGTATAAATGTACAGGAAAGTGATAATCCATCTTAGTTGATTCCTAAATGATCAATCTGGATGGTGAGTGCAAGAGTCTGGTGATGTCATAACATCAGCAAAGTTCATTGATTTTTGTTGTTGTTGCCTTGTGCAACGTGGCCTTGGGCTTTTTGTTTGAGCTCCTGTTGTTTTTCTGAAGGCTTTTCAAGGCTTTTCCATGTAACCACAAACTGCTAACAGGTAATGCGTCCTTTTCATATATATGATTAGTGCTCTCAGCTCAAATTTTTATATTTTAACCATCATTAATCATTTAAACATACTGTTTTTCCCCACAGTTGGCTAATGTATAATGGAGAAATAGAGTTGCACCAAATGTCAAAAGCAAAACAACAATTTTAAAAGAGTCGTCAGACACAAAAACATTGAAAAAATAAATTGCATACTACTACTACTCTGTCAGTTTATTGTCTCGGACTAATATGGAACGTACAAATGATGCTGTTGTCGTCACGATAAAGGCATTCAGTTTAAGGTGTCACATCTTCTACAGGACATCATCTGATCCCCGGCCTCCATGTTGAAGCTGTCACCTGACACCCACGAGCCTCCTCCCAGTGGAGGAGGTGAAGTCTTTACAAACTTCACCTCAACATCTTCATTTGCAGAACATCTTCCAGACATTGCTGTTCTTGTGCTTTGGATTTTAGTTTCTGTGACTATGAGGAAGAGCTGGAGCAGCAGTCGGTGTGCCTGACCTGGACGCGGCAGCACCCAGACAGAGCCACTTCTCCTACGGAAACATGATGCATTCACTGGTGCTGTGTTTGGCAGCGCTGCTTCACTTTGGTCATGCCACCACTTACACCAGCGACTGGGCCATAAGAATAAGAGGAGACATGGAGTCTGTAAACAGAGTAGCAGAGAAATATGGATTCACCAATATGGGTCAGGTACGTGGAAAGCAGCAGGCCGCAACAGAGCAGAGAACATTTGCATTATTGATCTGCATTGTTAATTTCTCATCTGTCACTGTGATGTCAATAAATACGAATAAGCATCGAGCTACATAGCATGAAACAATGGTCCAAAACACGGGATACTAACCAAAAAGCTTCCGGATCTTATAAGACCACAGTCCAAATATTGACAAAATAAATAATATCAGTGCAAATAATTTCAGTTTTTAGAATAGCAGGGGTAGTGTTGAAATGTAATAACATAAAATCAAAAGCATTTAAGTTAATTTTCAGTTTTAACTGATCCTTGTTTACAACATTTATTGTTTTAGATTGTTGATTGTTGATTAGTGAAGTACGTGGTTAACTAGTTCTGTCTCTGCTACTAATCAGCTACTAATTTGCTACTTTTTAATCATCAGATTAAATCATTAGAAAATTAACCAATTAAAATGCCTTTTTAAATACAAATAGCATTTTATTTTTAAAAAATAATAATGCAAAAACAAGCTCTAAATGATATGATATAAAATAGTTTTTTTTTAAAAAGAGAGAAATAAACACAGACAGAAGGTGAGCCTAAAACCTAAAAATAAATAAATAAACGTCAATCTGTGATATTTATAGAAATTTCAAGATATTTTAAATTGCCCCATGAATAGCAAATAACATTAACAGCTAAAACACACAAAGAAACCAAAACATTTAAATAATTATGTTAGCCAAGAACACAACAATTGGCCAAAAGGCTGTTAAAAAAATAAATAAAAATCATCAAATTTCCCTGCAAAAATAATTAAAGTAACGCATTTATTTTGGCAGTGAAAGTGTAATCAATTACTTTAACTTCTGCCATCAAATTCCTCCCATTTTTTTCTACTCTCAGCAGACTTTACGTCATCTTCACCTCTGGTAGAGTGACAGAAGGAAACCATCTGACTTAAGTCTATTGTCTTTTACACTCTGTAGCTCTCTACCTGCCAGGTTGATAATCAAAATGTTCTACACAATGGTCAGTCTCTTCAGTCTGTGTGTCTTTAAATAAATATTTGGGATGTTTTACAGCCTGAGCAGTTTGGTGCAACCAACATTACTGCAACAAAAATAGTTTTTAGTCCAGAAATGGTCTGTGAAATACAAGAGTAAAGTTCCTGACAGAGTCAATGGGAAATAAATGACAGAAAGTGAGATCTGTCAGGTGCTGTACAAGCTCATGAGGATTACTTACTCTTTACACAGTGCTTTCCTCTAAATGTATAAACCTATATGTTTATCCCACGTACAAGTTCCTCAGTTATGTTACTTACTTGCTTCTCATCGTCATGACTCAACAGGTTTGGACATGGATCTGCTCTACAGGTAGTCCTTATGAACGTCCATTTAATGTATGGTTTCAAATATTACATTTTTTATATCGCTCTCCCTGGTAAACTAAACGCAATTTTCCTACACTGTTTCTTGGTTTGTGCTTTCGTGTTACTTCATACTGTCGCGGCTACAGCTACTTCATACTCACTTCGGTATTCTTTGCTAAGACAAACCATTAAATTACTTATTTAAATTGTTGTATTTACACTAAAAGACTTTTCACTTTATTCCAAAATGTCGACATGACATGTACATATTGAAAATGGACAGTATAACCATCTAGACCCGCGAAGACGTTTTGTGTTAGCGCAGGTTAGCTTTTCTTTTTTAGCTTCTATGCTAATGGCTCTGCTATGGTGCAGGTAAGTTTTTTACGTCAGAAACTTATGAATGGAGGCTGTCTATTCATCTGCTAGATTTACATTAACACATTATTATAATAATAATAATTATTATCTTTACATTTAGGTTCTACCTAAGTTTCACCCACTTGTTGAGTTTTAAGGACGTTTGTATCTATTTTAAATTGTGTTCAAGAAAAGGCAACAATTCGTTTTTTTCCTGATAAATATAATTACAAATTGCCAAACTATGGTTTTGAGATTGCAAGATTGCAGCTTTTGTTGTGTTTTTAGTAAAGAATTACAACAGGTGTGCATTTTCGGCCTCACTTAAAAATATGCTGTGCGTCATAAAGACAACTACATACAGGTACAGTTTAAGGCACAAACACAGATAAGCAGCAGTGAGGCTGAAGTCATGTGGCTCAAGTTGCCTTTGCCTGAAAAACTATCGCAGGTGTCCTGTGTCCAGACCATTGAAAGACACCAGAGACAGCTAAATGATTAAACAGCTGTTTACACAGTGGCAAAGGGGGATGAGCCACCGCCCTTTACCTTTAGACAAATTAATTTACAGGAGTTCATGTCTCTTTTAACAGATTGGTGAACTGAGGACGTATTACATGTTTCATCACCAGCAGACAGCAAACCGCTCCACGGTCTACAACAAAGATTTGACGACCAGAGTCACCAAGGAGACTGAGGTATAGTAATGGGATATGATGCCTGGAGGAGTCTGCTGGATTATTAATTACCAGTATATCTGCTCCCTATCTCTGAACTCAGACATGGGAGCGCACGCAGACTCATGTGCTGACCCCTCCTACAGAACGCCACAGCAGTCTGTACTCCCTCTAGAATCTAGATGATGGATTAATGTCTTGATTATTACACGAGCAGTTTTAATGAAATCTGCTTAAAGAACAGCACTCATACACAGAGACACAATGTGTGTAGACGCATTAAGGTACATCTGTGGACAGACAGTCAGTGGATGGTCAGAGATACCGTTACAGTATGTAGTGGTTGTACATCTCCAACTACAAACTTGAATTTTAATTTAATTTAATTTAAATTTAATCAAAAGTTATCATTATAAAAATGCTAAACTGACATACTTCCTTAAATCTATGTTAAGTTAAGTTGTCTTGAGCATTGTTAATTCCAATCGGTTTTCTCTCAGGCAAAGCTAAGCTAACTATGCTAACATCTCCGCCTTACTTTTCTCTTTTTTTTTTCATTTCTAAAACACCTTTAGGCCAGGGGTTTAAAAACATTCTTTTGAAACAAATCTTTTTGTTAGAATTTTTTAACATAACATAATCATATTTAGATTTTAACAAATCTTTTTGTTAGAATTTTTTAACTGATAATCATATTTAGATTTTATATTCAACATAAGGCTCCAAAAATCAGTTACACTTGCAATGATATTCAAATGGGTCCAATGATGGAGGAAGAGCAGCATTACTTATTATTTTCAATTATTATAACAGGAGCATTGTTAGGTCTTCTTATCACAACCTTGAAGTAACTCTCAGTTTTGGAAAGGTCGGTGACCCCTGCCTCAGCTACTCAATGCACAGAAACCCCTAGGTGAAAAACTCCATAGCAGCTCCATCATGTTGGTTTTGAATGAGAGGCAACATCTTGTTGTGATTTAGTTCCACATATTTTTAATGAAAATTGAAGATGTGGGTGCGCATAATAAAATCCCAGAGTGCACTGAGGCAGCACTGTTGTTAAACTGCCCAATAAAATATGTATTTATAATGTCGTCAGTTTTACGGTCCGACCAATTGGCAGTAACAAAAATCAGCAATATTTCATCTCATGAGACTCAGTGTTATATTGCAAAAGGAATTATGTTTCAAAACACAAGGGACAACACAGTCGGTGGTAAATTACCAAAGGGTTTGAAAAGATAAAACTGTTTCCTTCACAGAATGACCCACTGTTCATCTCTGGATCCAGACAGGAAGTGTTAGTCTGTATATTCAAACTAATGTCACATTTCTTATTTTTATAAAAAATAAAATTCATGATGGTGTTGAACCACTGGTAACATACTACAAACTACAAACTACAAACATTGACAGACTGGACTAGGGGCACTCAACCACCAGGCCAGGGAACAGTAGCAGGCTGTAGACAATTTCTAATGAGGCAACACAGAAAGTATAAAAATTGAAATGGATAAGGTTTTACCTTGAATCTGCATTTGTCTGCATGGCGTTTTTTAAGAGCACTGCCAGCACTGCCTTTATTCAGTGTTTGACTCAGTTGCAATTTTTTTTTGCATCAGTAAGCCCTGAAGCTCACTGAAGAAAAATGAGCTAAAACCAAATTACGTTGGGAACTTCTTTAAAAAGAGAGTTCTAATGATGAGACAGCAGAAGGTTCTAAAGCTGCCACCAAAACCGAAGCTGCATCTAAAATAAAAAACCAAGAGTCCAAAATGAAAGAGCATAATATAAAATAATAATTATTATTGACATTATATTTGTTTTATTGTTGACCTCCCCTCACCTGCACAACCCTGCAGCTCGTCTGTAGAAAATCTATATCGCATAAAGAGGCTTGGTGGTGATAAAAGGCATTTACGTCAGTGATGGGGAATCTTAATGGATGTCTGTTGCTTTGAAGGTGGAATGGCTCCAACAGCAGGTGGTGAAGGAAAGAGCAAAGAGGAGCTACGTCACTGCAGACATGAAAACTAGAGGCTTGCCTGCTGCCCACACTAAACCCGTCCACACACAGACGCTGCACTTCAATGACCCAGTGTGGAGCAGCCTGTGGTATTTTGTTAGTAGGATTTTTTATTTACTAAGCTCCTGACTGAATCACAGACACATAAACTCCGACAGATCATGAAACAGATCCTGAATTATTCTGTGCTCCCACTGTTTGCTCCGCAGCACTGCATTGAAAAGTCCAAAGGCTGCAGGTCTCACATGAACATCGCTGCAGCCTGGGAGAGAGGGTATACGGGGAAGGGCGTGGTGGTGTCCGTCCTCGATGACGGCATTGAGAAAGAGCATCCCGATCTGAAGCCAAATTATGTAAGTGGTCCAGGATGGGACGCCCTTCTCGGTAGGGGACATTAATCATAAGTCATTTGGCAGAGCTCTTTAGGCTAACAGCGTAAAGCTGAGGCAGATATTGCAGGCAGTAAAGGCAGAGATTTGGGGCCAAATGTTTGGAAAGGCCAGCTAAGAGTATTGAAATGGACATTAAACGTCTGATCCACTTAACTCTGCAGTGGACTGGTGAATAATTCTCTTAGTCATTTGTCTTGTCGTGACATAATACAGACAGATGGCTGCTGGCATCTTGTTACCTGCTGCTACTAACTATAATGTTTCTACTAACTACTCTCGCCCTCAGGATCCAGTAGCCAGCTACGATATGAATGGACGAGACCCAGATCCGTCTCCTCATTATTCAAGCTCTGCTGACAACTAGTGAGCAATTGTGTTTTCTGAGATTTTTTTTTTTTACCTGCTTTGTCGATTCCTATTTCCGTTTTAATTGTAATTTTAATTATTGCATGCCCACTCCCCTTTTTCTCCAAGTAATTACATGCATATATGGATATGCAAATTTCTCCAGTCTGAATTCTTTCTCCTCACTGGTTTGATGTAACGGAAATAGCCTCTCTCTTCCTCATGCATATGCATGTAACCTCGTGTTCTGATGTTCTCCGCCTTTCTCTGAAGCCATGGGACTCGGTGTGCAGGGATAGTTGCTGCCGCTGCAAATAACTCTCAGTGCACAGTTGGAGTCTCTTTCAATGCAAGAATAGGTGGTGAGTCCGTGTGACAGGATAAAAGTTGGATTTTGAAGGGCCTTTGGAGGACAAGGCTGTGCAATGAATGGTTTCTAACATTTCTTTTACTCCACTCTGGCCGCTGTACCTGCAGGTGTTCGAATGCTGGATGGAGATGTGACGGACATCACAGAGGCTCAATCACTGAGCTTCAGCCCTCACTATATTGATGTATACTTGTCTAGCTGGGGGCCAGGAGATGATGGTGCCACCCTCGAAGGACCTGGGCCTCTGGCTCTCCGTACTTTACAGAACGCTGTAAAAAATGTGAGAGAAAATAGAAAGAATGTTGGATTTGTTTTCAAAATGATGCTGTACATTGAATTTGAGTGTTTTTTTTTTGTTTTTTTTTACCAAAGACCCAGTCAATTAATTTAAAAATGAAAAATAATCATGGTAAAATAGTTTCCTATGAGAAAATATACGTTTTTATAAACAGTTAATTCGATTTTAAAAACGAGAAAAAGAAATATCGCACATTGCATTTTAATTTATTCTAAATTTATTCAAAGAAATTGTATAATAATATATATACAGTATATCAACTAAAACGTAACTAAAAAGTTCTGTTGACTAAGTTACAATTAATACTAAATGACAGTTAGCCGTCAACATGAACATCGTTTACTTCAAGGTTCTCTCTTTATACTTGAACAAATGTCATTTACTAATGTATCCACTCCGTCTCCTTCTTCCAAAAATCTCAGGGTCGAAATGGGAGGGGCTCGATTTATGTCTGGGCTTCAGGAAATGGAGGGCGGAATGGTGACCACTGTTCCTGTGATGGCTACAGCAGCAGTATATACACCATTGCCATCAGCAGCACTACGTGGCATGGAAGTCATCCAGATTACCTGGAGCAGTGTCCATCCATAATGGCAACAGCTTTCACCGGCGGGGACACAGAGGGCTTGGTGAGGGATTTGGAGTTGTGTGGCCAAGTGAAACATTTGTTCACCAGAATGAGAGAGATGTATGTTTGGGGACTACTGTTGTCCATTTGGGAATAAATAATAATAAATTCAGGACAAAGTCATCAGACAAGTTAGACTTTGAATCCTCCTGCACCTCCTCCTCCCCTGTTCCTCCTCCTCTTCTTCCCCTCATTCCAAATTTTTGAGACACAAAAACAAAAATCTGAGCAGCTTTAATTGCTGTTTCCCTACCCTGTCTCTTTGGAGGATAAAGTTGCTTCAGGGTTTTTACATGTGCTTTTCTGAGTCCAACATGGATGAATCAGCCCTTACATCACTGCATCCACATTTTTAAATCCAAGTGCAAAAAAGGACATCACACTTTTCTTAATTATTCAACACAGCTAAACATTAAACTCAAACATTTTTTTTTACATTTAGCATGCAGTGCAGAGAAATCAGAGCAGACCAGCCCCAGAGGGAATAGAGCTCCATTAGCACCTCCCACGTTCTCCCTCCCTTCTCTCCAACCCAAACATTCTGTTTCAGAGCTCAGGTTAGAAACAACTGACACAGACAAGTATTCCTCAGGTTATAGTTTACATGACATTCCTAGCCCTGGATTCAAGTCTTTCATGACCTTTTCAATGAAGCCACAGCCGAGCTCTGTGTGAGAGATGATCTATACAGTATGATGTCCTGTTTCCTGCAGATAACTCTGGGTCCACGCCACAGCTGCATGTGGGCTCAGTCAGGCTCCTCCCTCTCCTCCTCCATGGCTGCAGGTGTCATCGCTCTCACTTTGGAAGCCAAGTAAGCAGCTTCTTCACACATGAAAATCCATACACACAGGCTCTGTTCAAATCAATAAGTATAGATCTTGATGTATTGGTGACAGTTTAATGTTTTCTGCCTGTTTGACCTTTTTTTTTCAGCCCACTCCTAACCTGGAGGGATGTGCAGCACATTATTGTACAAACATCAAAAGCTCATTATCTCGTTGCTCCTGATTGGCACATCAATGGAGCCGGATACAAAGGTATTCCCATTGCACTCGTCTCCCATTTCCTAGTGAAAACAATTATCAGGTCAGCGAACATGCATATTTGTCTTATTTTGGGTGCAATCATTTTGAAACGTATAATAAAGGTGATAAGGAGGAGAAGGTAGCTGGATAAGCATATTTTTGGTAAATGTTCTCTCAGTCCTTTTTCAGGGAGACTATAAAACAGTGAGCAGAAAACTAATGAGATCCTATGAGCAGAGCAGTGATAAACGCCTACAAACCCTCAGGAGTGTGTAAAGTCTTATAAAGCTACAGTGCCTTTTATGTCCCAGCTAATGTAGTGTATGTGTATGTGTGTGTGTGTGCGTGTGTGGGGGGTGTCAGTGAGCCACCTGTATGGCTTTGGATTGCTGGATGCTGAGGGCATGGTGAAGGAGGCAGAGCGATGGAGACACGTTCCCTCCCAGCATGAGTGTGTGGTGGAGGCTCCCATCCAGCAGAGCAGGCAAGAGATCCTCTCTTCCACTCAGGGCTTCCCTTGAATCCTCCTTTTTTATCACACATTATTTATATCCGTCTCACTTTACTCGCATGGATTTCTGTCACATTTTATTCTCACGCACTTTAATGGGTGTCATTTTCTTTACCTCACCTCCCTCAACTTTGCTGTTCCTTGTTTTCACCTCCTCTTATCTCTGCAGCTCACTGGGTTTATTTATAATTTTCTTTTATACTTCTCTCCTGACAGAACTATTCATCCAGGCCTGGTGCTGACGTCTGTTTATGAGACCAGGGGCTGCTCTGACGAGCCCCAGCAGCACATTGTTTATGTGGAGCATGTCGTTGTACGTGTTACCATCACTCACAGTCGCCGTGGTGACCTTTCTATTACGCTCACTTCACCTTCAGGCACCGTGTCCCAGCTGCTCGCCAACAGGTAACTGAGGACACTGCTTCATCCAAAAGTAAATATTAACCCCAGGCATATGAATTCAGCTCATGGTTTCTGTGTATCATTATCTGCGGTTGTCATTTTCACTGCCCACTGAAAAATTCCACAGTTTGGCACCTCGTCACATTATCAGGATAAAGTGGGGTTTTTGGCAAAGATGACCGGAAAACTGTAGGAGCTGTACCGACGTAGTGTTTTGAAGGAGCTGTGAAAATTATATTCATTTTTGCCAATTTTCTGCTACGTGCAGAGGTTCCTTACTTTCTGCAAGCCTTGCAAAGCTGGAAGGATGAGCAGAAATCATCAGATTCTGCAGCACACTGGTGAAAATTAACTGCATCCATACAGTAGTCTAAGTGTTTAAACCAGGATGTGATCAGTGTTTAATAAATTGCCTATAAACCAATATTACGGTACAAATGCATTCACGGCGCGCCCCACTTATTTATCCTAACAAATAAATATTTATCAGAGCTTCCTCTGATGGTGTTCCACACAAAATCCCTGCTGCTGAAGTAAAAGGAGATTCAGGTGCATCGTCTGAGCCTTAAAAAGAACAAACCAAATCCTTTTTTCCAACAAGCTGTGGCCTGATTCTGCTTCTAACGTGATGTATCTCACCATGTGCACTGCAGCACTAAGACCAAATGTAGGTTTTTAACATACTATATGTAAAATATGGGATGGAATTACAGGCTGCTACTTGGTCAAACTGTCTACTAGGATCCACCCACTGCAGCCTACAGTGCAGGACAAATACATTTCTAGCATTCTGTAAATCCAGGGAAGGGGAAGTAACATTTAACCCACTGATGAAACACTCCAGTCAACACTGGACACACAGGAGCCGTGGGCTGAACTTTGGTGATCGAGTGGTGGAGTTTTCCTGTTTTTATTCAACATAATTTGAGAGACAACTTTGATTTAGTCATTGTTGCCCTTTGAATAAATTTGTATGGATGCACTGATACTGATAGGAATACTTGTACTGTGCCCAATACTTTTCAAATACTCATACATGGTCATTCTGTATTGACCCAGTACGCAAAAATTGCTTTTAAACCCAACGAGCTATGCACCAGTCGGGCCAGTGTTGTGTGTTTTCCTACTGTTGCTCAGTGTCTTGTTGTAATCATAGGTAGTTTATTTAAGTGCTTGAACAGTTACAGCAGTTTGGAGGAATTTTAACATCAGGGCAAAAGGAGCGAGACTTACTCTAAGACGGTTGTGGTCTTATTTATTAATTCAGCAAAAGAAGTAGTAACAGTGATAGTTTGTGTTGTACTGTCATTTGATGTCATGTTTTTTTTTTTTTGTGTCAGGCCTCTTGACAACTCCACAGAGGGATTTCAGAACTGGAACCTGATGACGACCCATTGCTGGGGGGAGCAGGCAGCTGGGAAGTGGATTTTGAAAATCAAGGATACCCCGTCTCAGCAGAGAGTAAAAACAGAACCTGGTCTGTGTTATGAACTGTATTTCCACTAAAACAGCAGCTCAAATCCAGTGCAGGCCTCCCAGGAACGACCTCTTATCGCTCTATCTCTTTGTCTCTGTTTTCTAGGAAAACTAAAACAGTGGTCGTTGGTGATTTATGGCACCGCAGAGAAGCCGTACCCTGTGCATCGTAAGCAAGTCCGATCAACTGGCGCGCTGGAGAGTGACCTCACAGAAGAATATACTGGTGAGTCATGATGCTCATACTCTGATGTACAGTAAGTCATTGTAGATGACTTCATAATCACCCGCATGTGTCTGTGTGCATCTCAGAAATGCATGTAAATACAATATTAAGTCATGCAATTTTTTAGCCATAGATTAGAATAATATTATTTTGCACTAAACTTTGTCGTATTTATGGTTATATTTCTTTAATCCTTGTATAACCTTTTTTTCTCCTTTATTGAGAGAGAAAATTGTAAATAAACCATAAAATGTTGATATATTTGAATTTGTTAATTTAATTATTGTTATGAATGTAATATTAATACCCACATAATATCTTTACTTTCCATCATCAAACAGAGACAGTGGTACATAAAAAAATATGATGGTAAAAGATTAAAAGAAAAGCTGAATGTGAATTCTTATTTATATTTTTTTCTCATAAACACAAACACTTTGAAGAAGCTGTGCAACTACAGCCAAAGTAAATTTTCCCCACTGTCTGTTGTCTCTCTCTAAGTTAATGATTCCAAATACCGGTCCTTGTCTACATCACCGCCAAAATCAAATAATTCTCTCTTCCTTGGGCCACAACCAAAATCCCCTTTATATTTCTTTTTTTTCTCAACCTATACAAATAGTCAAAAACAAACCTTGCAGCTGAAGGTAACAACATTCAAATCACTTATGAGTTAGGAGAAGACAAATACGTACGAGGATTCACAGTCTTGGTAAAAACAAATTTGAACAGCAAGGTTAATCACATCACAACACAAATATCCACAGGGGGGATAACAGCTGAAGTCCAATAAAAAAATACTAATTGGATTTCTGGGGTAGAGATAGTTCAGCTTTAAAAGTTTGAAACATTTCGGATTTGTTATTCACAGGAAGCCTCTGTTGGTGTGAACCACAGCCAAAAGGTGATCTCACAAGATTTACAATCAGGAAACAGTGATTTACATACAGCTACAGGGTCAGGCAGTGAGCTGGGAGTCTGAGTATTCTTCAGTTTACAGTCAGACGAATGTATCGTTAGCTCCAAAAGAAATGGGTAGAAATCCCAGTGAGGCAGAACCAACAGAGAAGTCTTAGAGTCGCCACTGGTTAAAAAGTTTTGACATGGAGGGAGCCAGAGTGTTGTGGTGTCACCCCCACCCCCCCACCCCACCCGCACCTTCCCAAGCAGAAAGTGCAATTTTATCTTGCCTG